TCTCTGTCCCTCTCTCTCTCTCCCTCCCTCCCTCCCTCCCTCCCTCTGTCTCCCTCTCACCAAACCTACCGTAATTTTTGGCATATATAGCGCAGCTTAGTATAGTCCAATATAATATAGAGCTAGTCAAATAGTATAATGTAGCATAATAAAGATACAGTTCAGCGTAGATATGGATGAAGGCCGAATACCATCATAAACTCAAAGTTGCGGAGGCGGAAGTATAGGTCCAAAATCTTTAACTTCCAGTGTGTTACTATAGGTATATACAACTGTAAACCGACTTACTCGTCTCGGATATGCACATGTCAGGAACGGCGGGCGGAATCAGCCTTCTGTATCGGGTCTCTAAGGCACGAAGGACATCTCGAAGTCTGAAGCCTGCGGCCAAACGCAACTTTCAAAAATCGCCAGCCGAGAAACCGCAGCAACCCCAGAGGTGGGCCGCGTGAGACGACACCGTGGATGCTCCGGTGCATTCCTCGTCGTGGGGGTGAAAACCCGACGTGCCAGGAGCTGAATCGGGCAGTGCTGCGACGGCTCTGAATTGCCCGGACATTGTACCAGAATCAAGAGTCAATGCGGAGACCTGCTCTTAGAACTCGGTGAGACAAGCTGCGGACATGCCGTAAAGCTCCAAGATGTCAATGCCTTCGATCGAAGCAAAAGTCAGGATTCAAATTGTAGAGTTTCCAAGTTTGGCATTTTGGGTCTTGGGGTTTAGCCTTTTCGACGCAGCGTTCCTGTGCGACTATGCAAATCGGAATGCTGTTCGCTTTTAGAAAAGCAGACATGCTGCATCTTGCCGCTGGCATGAGTGTCGCATCTATCGACTTCAGCACCGCTGCGCAGAATGAAGCTCTACCCAACTCGCTGTCAACGGCCCTTTACGCCTTGAAGCCCGTGCTTATCCGAAGGAAGCAGACTTGCACAGCTCTAAACCCCTAACCCTAAACCCTATAATCCCTAAAAGTGAGCTCCAAGATGCCCAAGGAACCAAAGTACTCCAAGGTATCCACTCGGATCGGGGCCGCACCTGGGAGTCCCAATCATTGGTGTTTTGCGGACACGGCGTATGTAGGATTTATTGAGCTTTTGGGGTTTAGGGTATAGGATTTAGGATTTATAGGCTTTTAGGGTTTAGGATTTACGGCTTCTTTTAGGGCGTCTACGGCTCAGAGCTCTTGGCGTTCGGGGCTTCTGGGTTTCCGTGGGGTGTTTTGGGATTCATATAGAAACACCTGGGAGGATCTAAGGGCACGATGGGGCTTGCTCTTGTGACCTAGGAGACAAGCGGATGGATGTTGAGCAAAATATTCACACGACATATGTATGCATACACACATACATACATACATACCTATATATATATATACACACATATACATACATACATATATATATATAATACACACGCACACACACACACATGCAATTCTGGACTTCTCTACACTCCTGTCCTCGCTCTCTCGCTTGCCTGCTTGATAGGGTGCGCAGCCCAAGGCCTCGCAACGTGCACGCCTACCCTCTTGCTCCGTCTCGCTGCCTCTCTCATTAGCTTGCTTCCTTTTGCTCTCTGCGTCTGTCCTCCCTTGTCTCCCACGAAGAATGCAGATCTTCCGGCCGCTTAACAGTCCGATAGAGTCTTGAATGTGGAAGATTCCATGGCCGAAGCGCCTGTCGCCCCATACTTCAGCTGGTCCATGCCCAGCGCTGCCTCTCTACGGGTCAAGGTTCCATGGCCAGAGAGGTGGAAGAGAGTTCAGGCTATCTGTCATCGTGCTAAAGTCGGGTTACACAAGGAAGGGAACGGGATACCAGAAGGTCACTTTGCTCAATTCTTTTGCTGTGGGGATCCTTCGCGGCAACCTGTTCGCCAGCATCACCATATCGAGACAGAGCCGTAACCATCCATGAGAATCGAAGCTTGGCTGCCGCCACCCGGTGCACCGACGTGCTTTCTGCTTCGAGGGGAATCCTCATCCTCGGACTTTCGACACGATGAGTCCTTTGCTCTGCGAAACCTCGAGCCTTCTCTTATCGTGGCTTCTTGGGCTTCCCGCTGGGGTTTCCTTTTGGGGGCCACGATCCATCACGACCCAACCAACCTTCACGTTCTTCAGCACGACTTTGTCTGCCAGAGTATGCCCGAAGGGCTTGGAGCCATCGCCTGGCGTGGTCCCTAAACCCGAAGCCGTAGCCGGCCCTTATCTCTTCACAGCTGCAGGGCACCTCCCTTTTGACTGAGGTCTACGTACGTCGGGGCTGTCGAGCTGGCAAGGGGCGGATGCCGGCAAATTGAATCTACGTGGCAGGCATTGGGAGATGCCTTGGCCTTGGCCTGGGCTACTAGGCTACAGCTACAAGACCCCGAACCTAAACCTACGGGCCCAAAACCCATTGCTAAACGTAAAACGGTCCTAGGTTGCATTGAGATCCAAGCGCCGGAAAACAGCCGTGGCCTCCCATCAAGCAGTTCTTGGAGTACTTCAGGCCCAGGTCTTTGGCCCAGGTGGCAATGGACTGCTTCAGACCTCCCGTTGAGGAGGCCAAGCTCGGATCAGGAGGCACAGAAACGTACAGGTGCAAAGCAATGTGTTTGTGTGTGTGCGCGCTATATATGCATATATACACATATGTACATACTTACAGATGTACATACATACATACATACATACATAAATACATACATCCATACATACATACATACATACATACAAACATGCATACATGCATACATGCATATACATGCATACATACACACATACACACATCCATCCATCCAT